CGGCTCATTAGTCCCTTCGCTAGATAGGAATTAACAGTTTTTTCGAGAAACCCGAATGTTGTGTGCGATTTTTTTTACGTGATAAAATTGTAATATTCTTCAATCCAGAAAAGTACATAGCAAAAAAAGAAAAAAATAATGTATTCAGCAAACTAACAAACTGTAGTTAATATTTGATATAAGATGACCATCAATTCAAAGTCAGTTTAAGTCCTCGGCAGAGAGAGTTAGAATCACTTTCCACGCTTCATTCGTCTTCAAAATAACATCGGTCACCTTAGCAGCAGCCTCAACAGAAATCGTGTACATATACTCGGCATCTCCCATATCAATTATGTTACTTGCATCATGCCATGGATTATACACAACCAAAAAAAAAATTATAACGGAAGTTTTATTAAATAATACGTTGCATTGAAATACAAAATCACTATCAAGTTTGTATATCTATAAACATTTACCAACATCAGGTAGATCTACACTTTTACTAATCGTAAAAGTTCTTCCAGCCTGATTGTCCCTAACAGAGATCTGCTCAGGAGTATCTAGATACATCCTGTCCAGCTAAAACGAAAATCGAAGTCAAGTCAACAAGCGTATAAATTCATAATCATTGGTAAAAATCAGAAGAATTAATCTATTTTTATACAGACACACTTTATCATCGATAACAATAGACTCATCCCCTTCAATAAATCGATTGTCGTCCTGCAAAAAGTCTAGATACTCCACAGTCTCCAATCCTTCAATCTCAGTATCATTGGAAATGGGATTATTAATTTATTTCATTTTATAATAATAAAAGAAAAAAACAGTACATCGATTACCTAATATTTGAGATAGAAAAGCAGGTGTGAAAGTCAAATTTGAATGAGAAACATTTCCCGCTGCGATTTATTACACGAGATGTTATATCCAAATTTCCGATGGGTCCCAAAGTAACACGTAACTGGAGCTCCAATATGCAATTTTTAAAACATGAAATGCAATTTAGTTGATACACTTAGAAATTAATTAAAGAGTAATTGTCATGTACCCATAAGGCCAGTTTTGGATGTCTTCTTGATTAGAATCGATAACGAGATCAACAAACGCCGCTTCATCGAGTTCGAGTCCTGTATGGCGGAGATTTGGTTCATTCGTCAGATCGTCGATTCTCCAAGTGAAGGTTCGAGCAATGCCATGCTCCTCCAAATCTCCATTCTTGTAATACTGATCATGTCAGTTAATCGTTAAAACGATCTTAATTGTATATATATATATTTATTTATATATATATATATATATATATATATATATATATATATATGAAAACAAATAAATGCAATAATTACGTAAATCGAGATGCCTCCACGAATCCCATTTGTGTAATTCGCCTGGAAATTAAAATATGTTATTTTTTATTAATGGAAGTACTAAAGAAGATATACATACTGATAATCAAAAATCCACGACACATTAGTTAATAATTGTAATTAGACAGTAATTAAGATATAGAAAGTACCCTCTCCCTAAGAAACAACAACTCTTCACCATTGTTGTTCGTCCAAGATATTACTGGACCTCCGTAAAGAAGAATCTACATATATATCGAGAAAGCTCGTTAGTAGTGTGTTTCTCGAAGACTGTCCTTTCGAACTCTCGATAGAATCTAACTTATCCGTTCCTTTCTCGATTTTGATCGCATGTTGTACGGCAAGTATAATCTCCTGCATTCTTGGCCTGGCGGTGCTGTGTTGCTCGACGCACTGGATCGCTACTTCCGCTATTCTCCAAACCGATTCGACTTTCATTGTTCCGATTAACGTGGGGTCCGTTATGCTGATTACGTCTCCTTTTCCGAATCAATGCCCTTGCCTATAAATCGAAAAAATTAAATGATTTTTAGAAAAAAAAAAATATATGCAGCAGAGTTTCGGCAACGAGCTTATACCCAATGAGCAATGCTCCAATCGGAACCGTATTCCTCTGTCGAGCCAGGCTTTCAACCGGAGATAAGTTCGAGGAGAACAACTCAGAAACTGTACACGTCACTTTTTTCGGTCAACTGTTTGTTTGGGTAGTACCTGTTTTGTTTAAGACACGACATTAGTTAGTTTCGACGTTTAAGACACAACATAAATGCAAAGCCCCGATTTTTTTTTTATTATTTTTGTTTGGCTTACTCTGGATCGAGATAGCCGACTGTCCCTTGAGTTACGCTCGATACGTGCGTTAGGTCTTCTTCAGCTTGTCTCGATAGTCCGAAATCCGATACCTTTGCCCTCATGTTTATATCGAGGAGAATGTTGCTCGTTTTCACGTCTCGGTTAATTATACTAGGGTTGCATCCGGTGTGCAAATACTCTAAACCTGTAACTTTTTCAAGTATTTATACGACATTTCTAAAAATATATTTTTTTTACGAAAAATGAAAAAACAGTTTCCACCTTTAGCTGCATCTTCAGCAATTCAAAGACGTGCTTGCCAGTCTAAGTGCTTTTGATTCTCGGAATCTGTCGAAGAAGAATTTTGAGTTAGTAGTTTATTATCATTTCTCAACATATCGAAACTTTTTTTTTTAAATTTTTTTTATTGAAGGGGTGCAAACCATTTATATGATCTCTTAAAGTTCCGTTATGCATGTACTCGTAGACAAGCATGCGTTGATGCTCTTCCTCGCAATATCCGATCAACGGAACCAAATTCCTGTGATGGATTCTCGACAGTAATGCCACCTGTAAGTATTATAGTACCTCGTTAATATGTTAATATTACGTAAGAAAATATTATTCGATAACAAAATAATTTGTCTGCGAGTGTTTGTTATATATATTATATGCATTCTTGAAAAAAACATTTGACGAATTTCGTAACGGGGTCGAAAAAATAAGTAACCTCGGTAATCAATTGTTTGGTGCCGTGACTAGACGAATCAGCCATCGTTTTAACCGCCACCTCTTTTCCGTCCATTAATTTTCCGTAATATACCGGTCCGAAACTTCCTTTACCGATTTTCTTCGAGAAATTATTTGTAGCTTCTTCTAAGTCCGATAGAGGAATGTAGTATGCCACACCTTCGTCGCGCGCAATTGAGTAACCTGATAAAGGCCTGGTGCTCGCACGCCACGAGTTTCCTATTTTTTTTTTTCGCACGAGATAAAAATTTTGAATTTTACGAACGAAACTTGGAAATGATATATTTTATATTAGTGGTACAAAAATTAACCTTTCTCGTTTCTCCGTAGAGTTGTCCTCGACCTAGATCGACGAAGCAACAAGATGCTTAAAATTGATAGGACAATATGTGTAGCCACTATGCCGATCGAAGCTCCAAGTATTACTCTGTTACGTTTTTTCGTTGCTTGTTTAAGTCTTTAAGATGCGGATTGCCTTCGTAGCTGCCAAAAAAGAGGGAAGAATAAAGTACGGCATTTTGTTATTTTCGGTAGTTTTTTTACATGGCAAAGTTTATTTTAATCGATTACATTCGAGATTCTTCGAAACAAACCTGAAAGTTAAATTTCCTCTTAGCAACGACGAAGGTATTTCACCGCTCAAAGAGTTGTTCTGTACGTACCTGCCGGAAATAACACCACGCAAACGCGGCTTCAATAAATACACCGAGACTTATAATTCAAGTTGATTTAAAAAAGAAAAGAAAAGGATTATCTAGATTGATGCTTACAGTTCTTGCAAGTACGGCAGTTTACCGAGGTACGAAGGTAACGAACCAGTCAGTTGGTTATTCTCTAGATGCCACGAGATTAATAAAAGAAACGGTGCGAAACTAGCTTAGGTTAATTTTGGTTATTTTTTATTTTTTTTATGCTAGCTCGTATGTCTTATATAAGTCGGGCGTTTCGAGTTTCGATCTTCTGACACGGATTTGTAGCCACCTATTCATGTATACTCTTTTTTTGACATGATCACGACCAGATAAAACGAATTGATTGAAGAACTTACAGAATTTTCAAATTGACAAGGTCGCTCATATTGGGAATCGTCCCGATAAACGAGTTTCCATCTAGCCACCTATAATAAAAGTGAAGCAAAAAATCAGTAATGAATAATTGATTCAGAAATAAGATTTTAACTCGGAAATGAAATCACTCTTACAATTCCGTCAACCCGTCCATGCTATTAACCTCTCGCGGTATTTCGCCCGTACATTCTTACCTGACAAAAAACTGTTCAAACAAATCATCGTTGTAGCATGATGTAACCGTTATTATTGTGCAGGAAAATCGAGATAGAAAAAGACTTACATCTTGGTAATTCTTGGTGGTGACGTGGCGCTACAAGTCAACCACTCCCAATTCGTCGGTGAACAAGGATCACCGCCTTCTTCCACCCATTCACTTTGTTCAGACATAGCTAGCAGAGCATCGAGGCCACGCACTTCGGTACGTAATAACACACACACACACACACACACACTTTACAGTTATTTAAGCTTACCTCAGGGGGGTGTGTGTAATTTACCCTAAATTAAATCACGTTTATATATTATCCTACCGTCTTTTTCGTCGGTCTTAGCGGCAATCTCCACGTATCTACTAATCTCCATTGCATTCAACAACGGTCCTCGTGTGGAATCTCGTGTTTTCTTGAACTCAAACGTCAGAACGAAATCCAGCGAGACGTTCATGTAGCTAGGCTCGTACAACGTGTAGCTTCCGTTAGCGTTCTCTGCTATGTTCACTACCGCGTTGCTATAGTCCGGCATGTAAGGCAGCTCCATTTTGAATTTCCTAGTATCGTTTGTTCTCAAATCCTCGATTTCCGCAAAGTAAGCGTACGCTCGTGCGTTGGCCGGAAAATCCTCTAGATTCAGCCTGTAGCTTATGCTCCCTCCAGTTCCAATCACCGCAGTTTGCATCACTTTGACAGGTGGATATTCTCGTGTGTTCACATCTATGCTTTTCGCCGTGTTGACCCTCTCTGTCCCGGGGGCCACCCCCACTAAGAAATTCGCCCTTCCGATCGTAAGGGTCAGCAGGATACATAATTTAAAAAAAAAACGAACTTCATTCGATATTTCGTGCATTGTCGAAATGGTTCTATATATATGTAGTCGGTTATTACTGAACCGACTACAATTTCTGTTTCTTGAATTTTTGCCAGAATCAGACTAGAAAATGGTCAAAATCACGTTCTGAGTCAAAGTCAAAACGGTATTACTAAAATTGAAACGACATATAACACTTCAGTATCGAAATTAATAATCATATACAGTTATTACTGAACCGACTACAATCTCTGCATCTTGAATTTTGCCAGAATAAGACTAGAAAATGGTCAAAATCACGTCCTGAGTCAAAACAGTATTACTAAAATTGAAACGACATAGATTCAACGTGTCACGGGTAGAAGAAAACTTAGAGGCACAAATTTATTTAAGAAAATTTCAGATGCAAAGAAGATATGCAATATTTTAACCATCGCATTTTGAAGCAACAATGCTAAGAAAATAACACCCTGTACTGTTACAATTAAGGTGTACATTGAACAAACCTGCGAAGAACATTGGTAAAAAAAGGGGCCCACAATAATGACGAGTATTCGACTATACAAGAAAGCCTAAAGACGCCAGCACAATTGAAAAAAAAAAACATTGACACTGATAAGCAAGAGGCAAAAAGTTTCCATCATAACAAAGAAAGATGAGAACAAATGGAACTGGCATATAGACTCAAAATTTGATCGTAACCAAAAACGCCAAAAAAGTGTTGGCAAAAGAGAACGCATATAACCAAGAGGTACAAAACTTTCCATTAATAATGAACCACAACAAGCTCAGCGCACTTTACCCAAACCTTGCTGGCCAGCAAAATAAAGTTGGAAGACATACCTATAAAAGCCACAGAAGGTCGGAATCCATGAAACAGGAGTGTTCGTGTTTTCTTCACAGCATCGGTCTGAGTTTTACCAGCAGCTCGTAACCTACAATTCGAATAATTAATTCAATAATTAGATCTTATTTAAGGGATAATTAGCAATACCCCTCATCTAGGTAAATGAGTTAAGAAAACCCCACTTCCCAAAAATAATTAGAGAAAACCCAGTTACCTAATATCCTACCCAAATATTATTTAATAATTCCCAAACCACCCTTATTACCCCTAACCCATTGCCTGCCGTTCTCTCTTCTTCCCACATTGCCAATAGAAACGGTAGATTAACACAGAGTTTTCCACAACTCTCTAAGCAATCAGATCGCTCCGGGTCAGAAATCGTAAGAAACAAGTCCACGCAACTCACCAGACTCAGGCGAC